TTGGAAATTTACATCAGTTATCTGATCCATTGCATATGACTTTTAATCAAATGGCTCTCAATTTTGGCTCGATATTCAAAATCAATTTGGGAAACAATAAAATGTTGGTCGTGTTGAATGATGACAAAGTAGCAAATGAATTACTAGTCACTCGAAATGAAATTTATCAACCTTGTGAATCGACTCTCGATGTTAAACCTATTTCGCCAGCCATGCGAATAATCGCACAACGTGCCCTTTCATCTAAAATTATCGAATTAAATTATTTGCCAATTATTCATAAAGAATCGATTAATTTGGCCAGATACTTTTATAAAAATGCTGGAATTTCAATTAATCCAGTCGACGAATTAACTCGATCAATCTCAAAAACCTTTGCATTAATTACATTTGGCCACTCAGCTGAGAAATTTTCTTTTGATTTTACCGAATTCTTGGAGTCTGCAAACGCACTTGAAAGAAAAGAATTTCAAAATGCATTGTTACAATTCCTTAGTGAAATCTTATCAACACAACAGACACTCGAAAACAAAGTTCATCTTTCCAAGTCAAAATACTCGGAAATTTCAAAACAGTTATTTGACGATCTGAAGAAGCAACCCACCGCAAAAAATTCAACAAATGATAAATGCTTTACTTCAGAGATTTTGAAATCGATGAAACCAAAAGCAGATGAAAATGAGTTTATTAATTTGAGCAGCAGTCTATTGTTAAATGGCATTGAAGACACATTAGCGGAGCTGAAATGGGCTTTTATATTGCTGTCGTATGCGCCTCAGGTACAGCATAATATTATGCAAGAATTATCAAGAGTTGTTGAAAAAGACAAATTTCCAAATGTCGAAGATTATACAAATTTACATTATTTAAAAGCAACTGTCAAGGAGATTTTGAGATTCAGGTTAGTTTATTCTCAATTTGTATCATGAAAGCATATATACATCATGTGTACCATATTTAAAACAGTAATTAATTTCTTCATTAGACCTGTAAGCTTCTTTTCACAGTCATTTGTCGTCACCAAGGATGACGTTTATCGTGGATATCATATACCACAAAACGCTAATGTAATATTCAATATAAATACGCTACACTTTAACCAAACTTTATTCAAACGAGCGAAACGTTTCTCACCAGAAAGATACCTCGACGAACAAGGTCACTTGAAACAAAATCCTGAATCGGCTAAAATTTGGATGTTTGGTAAAGGACCAAATACGATTATC